GAAGGAAGTGATAGGGAGTGTGGGGTGGGGGGGGGGGGGGGGGGGAGGTAGATGGAGTCTCTTTTTGGTGTTTTTCCACTGTGTCATTTGATCCACACAGCACAAAATAGGGGCATTTTGTTGCAGCCCTGCTTTGTTTTTGCCTTGCATACATGGATGAGGTAAGGTGTTATCAATCCCCCATTATGGGGGACAGTGGAGTTCCCAGAAAGATGAGAAAAGTTTATGAACTATAACTTCCAGAACATTCCAGTCAGTATGGCCAGTAGCCACATTTGCTACGGTATTCTGATAGCTGAAGTCCAAAAAAAGGAACCCCCCCCCCACATCTCAGAGTGCCCTCCATTTAGAGAACACTTTAGTTCAACTAGCTATATATAGGCTCGCAAGTTTATAGTACAGAGGCAGAGGGCTTTTGAATAACAATCCTATACCTATGGAATGAGCTTCCATTGAGGATACAGCTAATCCCTTCTTGTAGACCTTTGGGAAAACTCTGAAGATCCAGTTATTTTTGTGGTTTTTCCTTTATTTTATTTTGAAGCTTCTGGTTTTATGTTTAAATGCTCATCCTCTCTCTCTCTCTCTCTCTTTTGCAGCTGGATTGATTCAGCCTAGAATGTCCAAAAGTGATCAGAGACAGGAGTGCCTCTGACCATGTATAAAGACCACCGCCTTCTACTATCATTAAGAAACGAGGCCCACCTCCCAAATACGTATGATCAGGGAGCAAGACCTCCAAGTCAAAAGATTTATTTTAATTTATTTTATTTAAAATACTTTTCACCCCACCTTTCATTATTAAGAGACAATATTTAAAGCTAAAAAAGTGAGTATACAAAGAAAGATCAGACATATACTAATTTACACTAAAAAAAACAATAAACAAAAGCAACACCAGAACACATTCAAAGCAGTAAAGGGCAACAGTCCATTTAAAAACTCCACTCAGACAGCCAGGCATTAAGGGAAAGTTTGGCTGTAGAGGAAACTCTTTGCCTGCTTGTGAAAAGACAGCAAAGGTGGGACCTGTGTGGCATCCAGTGGGAGGGAGTTCCAAAGTCTGGGAGCAGCCACAGAGAAGGCCCTGTCCTGTATCCCCACCAAACACACCTGTGAAGGTGATCGGACCGAGAGAAAGGCCACTTCAAAAACTGACAAACATAGATGATCCATGGGAAAACAATATTTGCTACACCTCCATTAAAAAAAATGGAGATTGCTGTTTTCGGCCATAAAACAAAAACCAATCAAAAGCAAGGAAGACCCTAACCTTTGACTAGGTCTTAGTGGGGCCATAAGAAGCCTGGGTCAAAATTTGGGATCTCCCTGTTTCTCCTTCCCTGCCCTGCTCTAATTTTTAAATACCACCTCATCCAAGGAAGGCCTCCGGAAGACTCCAGGGCTGGCTCACATTTGATGGCATTTGAATTGGTCCCAACAGAGCCATCGGAAGCCTATGGATATTTTTGTTTTATTCCACTATCAGTGATTTGAAGCTCTACCCAGAGGAGAAATAGGATTTTATTGGCTGAAATCCGGTTGCTTATGACAGTACAACAGGACCCCTTTATCCACAAGAAAAGTGCCTGCTGATTCACTGATCCATGGTCTCAAAATTTTAAAAATGTTAAAAGAAAAATCCCCAAAATATATATTTCTAACCATGAAGTTACCATAACTGGCCACTCGAGGGAGCCAGAGACCATGCTACGTATGTATAATGCCTATTATTATAATAGCATTTCTATTATCCACATTTTCAGCATCCACAGGGAGGCTCGGAACTGAGTCCAATTTGGTAAATTTGTAAATTTGGTGAGTCTACTCCTCTGTAGGTTCCATTAATCCTAACGGGCCTCCTCTAGTTGCAGGTTAGTACACTAAGCAACAGGATTCCAACTAATGCATATTAACAGGGAGTAAATTCATTACCAGGAAATCAGTGCTATCTAACTCAGAAAAAAAGTTTTCTATTTCTTCATCAACTGCTGATTACCCCCAAAATTCAGCTAGGAGCCCCTCACTTAATCCGTGACGGATGCCCCACGCCTGGCATGCCTTGCAAATGTTTCACGGCTAGTCCTGATGTCCTGCGGAGCATGAATGGAATTTATCGGGAGCACAGTTAATTCCCGCAAGCTTAGATATTCAGAGGGACAAGACACAGCCCTTCAGAAGTACGTACCGTAGTTAAGGAACTCTTGTGAGAGGCTTAAGGCTTGAGCAATGTTTCCTGCCTTTAATAAATGTCCTGCCTTTAAGAAATGCAGGCCAGGGGGAGAGAGAGAGAGAGAGAGAACAGAAGAAAAACAAGACAGAAATGAGTGTTTCCATTTTTGGAAAGAAGCAGAAGCAAAGAGGCAAAGGGTCTCAGATTTACTCCCCTCCCGACACATTTCTCGAAATCTCGGCCAGCATGCGACGGGGCGTATTCTTTCCTTGAAAGCATCTTTCTCGGCTTTTATGACTGGTTTAACATCTTCAGTGGCTCAAATGTAAGCCCTTGGTACATTTCTCCATTCCAGCTGCACACAGACTCAGAAATCACGGAGGCCTTTCCCCATAGAACACTTGTTCTACCTGGTTCACCCCTGCTTTCAGTATTTTCCCCATCATCCACTGACAATAGGAACAAATTCATGCTTCTGCAAGCTTTTTTGTCCCTCCTGAAAGCATCATTTTTCTGTTGTTGTTGTTGTTGTTGTTGTTATTATTATTATTATTCGTGGGCACTTGGTCAGACAGATGGGAACGCAAGGAAGTCCGCCTTGCGATGGAGTCCAGCCTGCCTGCTGGGGGCGTTGCTCTCGCCTTCTCCGACCCCTCCCCAACTTCGTTATAAGGCTTCTCGTCCATTACTCAACAGAGGGATGTGTTATTTAAATATCTCCCAAGCCAGTGGTTCTTAACCTTGGGTTACTTAAGTGTTTTTTGGACTGCAACTCCCAGAAGCCTTCAGTACCAGCTGTGCTGGCTGGGGTTTCTGGGAGTTGCAGTTCAAAAACACCTAAGTAACCCAAGCTAACACTCTCTGGGCATGTTCAACTACATGTCCCATTGTGCTCAAATGGAAGGACCTGACCTGGGGGGGGGCCTCTTTGGACTCCCATCCCCAGAATTCCCCACGCAAGATCACCTTCTTTGGCATATACAGTACCTGTTGCACGTCTGGCTCCATGAGAACCACACACCAGAGAATCAGTTTGTTTAATGTTACTCCAGAAAGTGAAGCCTAGTTGTTTCCTACATGCAAGAAGGCTTTGAAAGCATCTATTCCCCCCCCTTTTTTGCCTCCTCCTTTTGGTGGGAAGGGTATTTGAGAAATGAGAACAGAAATGAGCATTATAGCCTAGAAAAAGAAATGGATTTTTGGCCATGGAGACCAAGGCGATTTTTCCCTATTGATCTCTCTGAATGGATGGGGAAGAGGACGACAGGTTAAAAAAATAATAATAGCCCGGAAGTATCTTTTGCATACAAAAAAATTTACCTCTATAGCCTTAAAAGGCACGTGACATAAAACTCTGCGTTCTTTTCAATGAAACCTTATTTGGAGGATCTGATCATAGACTCGAAAGGGCTAGAGCGAAGCCGCATGGCGGCCGTCGTGGAGGACCGTCTTTGGGTCTCTCTAACCTTCATCTCTGTGGTTCAAGTTAAACCCAAGGAGGGCAGATCTTTTAAAAAAAGCACGTCTCTCTCTCTCTCATCTCTATGGTCGCGCCTGGCATGTGGCAGCGCCCCCGCGAGGCCTGTTGGCGGTCAGCCGCCAGAATTCGGCCGAGCTTTTCCCTCCGGCCGTTGCCGCCGTTTTCCCGAGAGGCTTTGCGCTCGGGAAGCCGTTGCTAAGCAGCGGGAGCGGCCTGGGCCCACTCGGGGCCTGGTGGCGAGGATGAAGCAGAGGAAGCCCAGGGGGTTCTCGCCTCGCCCCGGCCGCAAACGGAAGGGTGAGGAAGAGGAAGGGCCTCTTGGGGGGAACGGGGTGACCCATAAAAATATGGGGGGGAGGCGCTGTGTAGTGTCGCCCCCCCTTGGAGAGGGGTTCCCGGGAGGGGGTGCTGGCCAAGGGGGAGAGCCTGCCTCCCCACAGACCCACAAACACACCCACAGAGTGTGAGGTGTTTTTTTTGGGGGGAGGGGTAGTTTCTATAAACAAAGAATTGCAAAAATGCGACCCAAGCCCCCGCCTGTTTGCCGCTTGCCGGTGCGGGAAGGCGAGACATCCACCTCGGACTCCTGGCACTCCACCACCGGCTCCTCGTTCTCCTCTACCACAATATCCATTTAGTGGGGGGAGGGGAATGCCCATTTTTGTATATTAATGTCTATTTTGCCCTTGAACGTGCATGCCTGGATAGGGCTGCCTTTGTGGGATGTCTTGTTGTGGTGATGTGACACCAGGTGCCCTCTTTGCAACAACCCCCGCTGAACTCTTGCAAATTTATTCCAGCCCGTGGCTTCCTTTTAGGGAGTCGGTCCATCTCGTCTTGGGGCGTCTTCCTCTTTTCCTGCTGCCTTTCCACTTTTCCTGGCCTGATGGCCTTTTCCAGAAATAATCCTGCCCTTCTCATGTTGCAAACAAAGCAGGACAGCTTCAGTCTCAACATTTTTTTTGCCTCCAGAGAGAGAGAGAGAGTTCAGGCTCGATTTGCTCTAGGACCTCCTTCCCTTCTTCGTCCAGGGCATCCCCAAAGCTTTCCTCCAGCGCCACATTTCAAACCCACCCTTTTCCCCCCCCCTCACCCTTTCCAGCTTTCTGTCCAGATTTCCACACCCATACAGGGTGACTGGAAAGACACGAGCACGGATGATCTCGGGCTTGGTCTCTAGCCGCCCATCCTTGTTCTGAGTTAAAACGGCCTCTGTGGCTTTCTCAGTTTTTTTGTAATTGTGAGGTGCTGCCAAGTCACCTCCAACTTACGGTGTGACCCTATAAATCAGCAGTTTCCAAAATATCTGCAAGATCCTCCGCAGTTCCGCTTAGCTTTTGCAGATTCAAGCCTGTGGCTTCCTGTAGGGAGTCTCGTATTGAGTCTTCCTCTTTTCCCGCTCCTTCCACATTTAATAATAATAATATAATAATATATAATTTATTGTCATTGTAAATATATACACAGTATACCATACAACGAAATTCACAGACACCCAGAGACCAGACACATGCACATACATAACATTCCCCAAACACTCCCCACCCTCTAAAAAATTCCCCACTAAAAATACAAACATCTACACCTCAGGCCAAGTAACACAGTCCAACTAATTATTCACTACTGGTGGTCTTTAAGCTCATTATTAATTGCAATTATAGCTCTAGGATAAAAACTATTTAGAAAACGTGTGGTCCGAGTCTTAATTGTTCTATATCTTCTGCCAGACGGTAACAGTTCAAAAAAGTTATAAGCAGGATGGGAAGAGTCTCTCAGGATGCTGTGTGACTTCCTCAGACAGCGGGATGTGAAGATGTCATCCAGGGTTGGTAGCTGGAGCCCGATGATATTCTGGGCAATTTTAATGGTTCTCTGTAGAGCTTTTTTGTCCGCTACAGAGCTACACCCAAACCATGCCAGAATGCCATAGGTTAGGACACTCTCAATGGTGCTACGATAGTAGGACAGAAGTAAATGCTGTGATAAATTTAACTTCCCGAGCATTCTCAGGAAATACAGCCTCTTCTGTGCCTTCTTCATTAACATGTCGGCATTTATAGTCCATGAGAGGTCCTCTGAGATGTAAGTACCCAGAAATTTAAAACTACCAACTCTCTCCACTTCCGGTCCGGGTAGAACTTGGTGGGTGAAGGCGTTCCGCCAAGTATCGAGGTCCTAAACCGTTTAGGGCCTTTTAAGTGAGCATTAAAACTTTGAAGTCAATACAGAAATGAATGGGCAGCCAATGCAGTCTAGCCAGGATAGGAGAAATGTGATGGAATTTTCTCCCTCTGGTAAAGAGTCTGGCTGCTGCATTCTGCACCATCTGAAGTTTCCGTATCAGCCTCAAAGGTAGCCCCACGTAGAGCGCGTTGCAGTGATCTAATCTTGAGATTACGAGCACGTGTACTAAGGTAGTGAGCGCCCCCGTGTCGAGATAGGGCCGCAGCCGGGCAATCTGCCAAAGGTGGAAATAGGCGGAGCGGACAACCAACGCCACCTGTGTTTCCATGGTGAGCGTCGGGTCCAAATATATGTCCAAACTGTGGACCCCACTCACCGGAGCCAGGGTGGCCCCCCCAAACAAGAGAGAGCCAACCAAGCCACCAACCATGGGGGGGCCCAACCCTCAGGACTTCCGTCTTGTCCGGGTTCAGCTGCAGGCCATTTTCCTGCATCCATTCCAGTACAGTCCCCAGGCAGCGCTGAAGGGACAGGACGGCATCACCTGCAGTTGGTAAAAAGGAGATGTAGAGCTTGGTGTCATTAGTACAGCTACAGATGTAACTTTTTAAACAAATGATTGCGATTGTATATACTGTACATTTAATCTCTGTTTTGAGCTGCTTGGAAAACTATTGTAGCTAAAAATATATGTAATGTTATTTATATCAGTTAATGGCCAACTGTGAACCCCCATATGCTTCTAATTACAGCTCCCATGATTCCCCACTCTGGCTTGGAATGCTGGCATGTACCCAGAGGGCCACAGGCCCAATCCAGGTTGACAGGTTTCTCGCATTGGCCAAATAGTAATGTTGTGTTTGTTCTCTGCCTCTCTGCAGACCTCACGGATATTTCCCCCTCTACAAGCTTGCCGCCTCTCGTCGAAGGCCAGCTGCGCTGCTTTCTAAAGCTGACCGTCAGCAAAATCTTATGGACGGTTTCCAAGCCGCCAGCATCCTTCCTTGTCCGGGTGAGGTGGTGGGGAGAAACCTCAAATGGCACCATTTTTGTTCCCCGGGATACCTTGCAGATGGAGCAGAAAACCCTGAAAACCACCACTCGCTACCCGGTTCGATGTGGACCCAAACAGTTTGCCTCGTACCTAACAGGTAGGAGCAAGCTGAGCTTTTGACATTTGACCCTGTCATTTCTTAATGTATGGTTGGGGAAGCCATCAAAACACATATGGAACGGAGAGGCCAGGAACACATTCATCTTTGATACATTGCCTAGAAAGCGTATTTGGCGGCAGAGATTAAATCAGTAACTTTTTTGGACTGCAACTCTTAAAACCCTCCAGCCAGCATAGGCACTGGCTGTGTTTCCTAAGGCATACTGAGAGTTGTATTTGGAAGGAGAAATTTTTCTGAGTTGAGGCTGGAAGAAGCTTAGTGTCTTTCAGAATATAGGATGAGGAAGGTTTGCAGAACTTTTATACAGTAGTCTGTCTTATGCTGGGTAACAGATACTCTCCAGTGTCTTATTAAGCGATGTTTACATAACCATGAACTAACAGTGCAATAGTGCTACGAAAAAAGGCAAATGCTATTTTAGGATGCATTAACAGATCCAAATCCTGTGAGGTGCTAGCAAATGCTATTTTAGGATGCATTAACAGTTCCAAATCCTGTGAGGTGCTAAATTCCCATCTATTTGGCACTGGTTAGGCCTCATCCAATTCTGGACACCACACTTCAAGAACGATGCCAGTAAACTGGAGCAAGATCCTGGACACCACACTTTAAGAACGATGCCAATAAACTGGAGCAAGATAAGTGGAGGGTGACAAGGAGGATCAGGGGGCTGAAAACCAAGCCCTAGGAGGAAAGACTGAAAGAACTGGGCCTATTTAGCCTTGAGAAAAGAAGGTGGAGGGGAGATAGGAGAGCACTTTTCAAATACTTGAAAGGTAGTCATTCAGAGGAGGGGAAGGATCTGGTCTTGATCACCCCAGAACACAGAACACGTAATAAGGGGCTCAAGTTAAAGGAAGCCAGATTTTGGTTGAATATCAGGAAAAACCTCATAACTGTTAGAGCAGTACGACAATGGAAACAATGGCCTCAGGAGGTGGGGAGCGCTCCAATTCTGGAAAAATTCAAGGGGAAGTTAGATAGCCATCTGTCAGACCTGCTTTGATTTGGATTCCTGCCTTGAGCAGGGGGTTGGACTAGATGGCCTTAGAGGCCCTTTCCAACTCCATAAGTCTATGTTTCCAAGAACCTGTTATTTGAAAATCTAAAGGCTTCTACCTAGAATACCTAAGTTTGCCCCTGAAAGCATTTCCCTTCCCATTATATTTCGTTAGCCACATTTTAAGATGTTTGGAACCTGACATAAACAAACACTGAAATTACTTTGGGCTGATTGTATGTCCACTCTTTTGGAAAATTTTCCTTGTGTGAATTCCTCCTTTCAGAAGATTCTTCAGGTTATTTACTTATTAGCTATCAGTTTCTTAGTGATAGCTAATAATGAGAGATTATTTTGGTGAGGGGAGATTCTTTCCCATTGCCTCTTTCAGGGAATTTGTTTCAAAGAAAGAGTTGGCTGGAATATTTTTATTGTTTGGTCTGGAAAGAAATCATGTAAACGTCATTTGTATTTTGTTTTTCAGACTAGACCAACTGGTTCTTTTTCCCCCTTTCTCTCCTTATAGATATGGGCGCTCTAATCCTGGAGGTGATGACCAAGTCAGACCACCTTCCAATTGGACAGGTTCAAATAGATGGGCTGGCCCGGCTCTCCCCAGGCCACCCGATTAGTGGGTTTTTCACCATTGTTTCGCCGGCATCTGAAAAGATGGGAGAACTGCAGGTAGCTCTGAAATCCTTTCCTGCTTTACCTTTTTCTTGAAGGGAAACACACGCTCCAAACTTGGATTACTTAAACTATAGTCGTTGTGCAAAAGCTTAACTGCTGGTGGCTGATTCTGGCACATAGTTTGCTCACCCAGGTGGTGGGTGGATAGCTCAGTGAGTGAGATATAGAGCCAGAGGTTAGGAGTTCAGTTCCCCACACTTTATTTGAAGAGCTAGCCTGGGTGGCCTTGGGTGAGCTGAACAGTCCGTGAATGTTCCCAGAAGAAGGGAGTGGGAAGCCACTTCCAAATACGCTTTACCTAGGAAACCCTGAAAAGGGTTGCCCTAAGTCAGAATCGATTTGACAGCCCTTGATGGCACACCGTGATGCTTGGGGAAGAGATGGAAACCTTTCAGTGAGGAATTATGTGTAAACCTGTTATTTAGATTTCTTAAGCACCGGTGAGGTAGGTTGGGCAGGGAGACATTAGTTTCAGAACATGATTAAACAGTCCTCTGTGACTTTGAGCCAAGATACGCATTACAGATCTTTGGTTTAGTTCTTCTCTATGCCATTCAACAGGCAGGCCATTTCACAGGTCAGTCATCCAGACCATAGGCCCATATATCTGTCGGCCAGTCCAACCCACATGTCCTGTCACACCTTTTGTCCGGTGATCCCTTGGACCCTCAACATAGTTCCTGATCAACAGTGAATATGGGCTCAAAGACCCGAACAGAGTGCTAAACAGTCAGTGCCTGAAATCCTGTTGCTTGGCATGGTAAGTTGCAACTAGAGTAGGCACATTGAATCCATAGAACCTAAGGAGGAGTTGACTTACAATAGACCCACGGATCCAGTGGGCCTACCCCATTTGCAACTTACTACACTGAGCAACAGGTTTTACCCAATGATGATCTTGCCATCTTAGGAAGCTTGTGAAAACCTCTGCATCTTACCTAGACCCCTTTCTGCCTTCCACCGGTCTGCAGTCTGCTTCCCCCTAGTCGAGAATGATGGGACTAGACAACCCCTAATATATTATTTTATCATTTTTGGTGCCTTGGTTTAGAATGTGGGCCATACAGTCCTGTGTAAGTTATAGTAACTTGAAGGACCCTGCCCTTCCCCAGCACTCCCTCACTCTCTCTCTCTAGTCTGTGGATCAGACTACAGCAGTTTTGTAAAGGTTGTCGGGATAATATATCGAATCGAAGCAATGAAATAAAACATTGTGTACGTGCCAAGGACGACAAGCCCTTTCAAATGCTCTCTTTTCAGGTGTCCCTCGTTCTGGAACCTCTGTCTGAAACCTATGAAAGCAGCAGCTCCGTTCCAAACACAGGTGTGAGTTTCAGCGTTGGTTTGCCAGCCCAAGGAGCCAAAGAGGCAGCCGAGGCAGCGCCATTGCTTGCCCCACCTCAAATTCAGAAGCCCTCCAGCACCAGTGTCAGTGGAAGAGAGTCTGTGAGCAGTAGCAGGGCTTCTACGCCCAGGTGAGAGCCTCTTTCCTCTTAGATCTTACCAGGTCTTTGTAGCTCAAGTGGTTCCTTCCTCCACTGCCCTGTGGTAGAGGAAGGGGGCTGCAAGTTCAAATCCCCCCTGGGCCACTCAGGAGAGGGGCCAGTCCTTACCTATTGCTGCTAGGTTTTGGGGGTATCTGTTAGAAGACATTTTGGGTGAAACAGCTGTATGTCTTTCACAGTTAGACACAAAGTGGAAGCCCGGTAAACCTGGGAGTATCCAGGTGGAGGAATATGTCAGTGTCTTCCTTGAGAGATGTCATTTTTTCCTGTCAATGTTATGGTCCTCCCCTTCTGCTGTCCACATTTACGCCTTCAGCACAAACGTATTTCTAGCCAAACGCACAGACTTTGTTACCTCTGCTCCTCCTCCACCACAGCAATAGATCACGTGCGTGTGTCTAAAACAGCAGCCGAGGCATGGAGAAAATTAACCAGCCAACCTTCAAATAAACTTTCTAACGTTGCTTCTTTTGGGAATAGGGGGAAAGATCACTTGTACTTCCAGGAGAACTCGGAGAATGTTGGGCCAAACCACCCCAAGCCACGAAGTTTGTTTCCCAGCAACTCGGACCGTGACACCGAAGTGAGGTTACTTGGGGGAAGCCGAAACCCTGCCCGGGTTCTTTCTTGCAACAACCCAGCCACAAAAGATCTCCTTTCAGGTAGGTGCCTCAGCAGTCTGGTTTCACTTGTTAATGCAGAAACCGTTTTTAAAATTGTTGCCATTTATTTCCCCAGTAGAAATGACTGGCCTGTAAACTGGCACTCATTGTTTTCCTTTGTAGCGTGGATTGACGCTTCTCCTCTTTTCCACCAGCCCTTTTGGATCAAGGCAGTCGGCTCCGAGAGGCCATGGTGGTGTCTGCAATGAAATCCAGCCCAGACTCTGGTATAGAACTATATGACACTCACCCTTCCCTGAAGCAAGAGGCCACTAAGTTAGCTGGAAAGTGAGTTTTGGTGGTAATGTTTGTATTATTACATTGGTGATATTTAACAGGTCTCCAAACAGTAGAGTGGAATAGATTGTATTTTCAGACGAGCTGGCAGTAGATCATAGAAATCATAGAAAAGTGAAGTTGGAAGGGGCCTACGAGGCCATCAAGTCCAATCCCCTGCTCAAGACAGGAATATAAATCAAAGGATATCTGCAGTTGATTATCTAAGTTTCTCTTGAATGTATTCGCGAAGGCTTTCACGGACGGGATCTAATGGTTGTTGTGGGTTTTTCGGGCTCTTTGGCCGTGTTCTGAAGATTCTTCCTAACGTTTCGCCCATCTCTGTGGCCGGCACCTTCAGAGGACAGCACCAGACCAGAACACAGAGTGCTGTTTGTTCTTATCCTGCTGTTGGCACTCAGCTTCCCTTGGCCCATTTTCATTGGACTATCCTATGTAGGAATCTGAAAAACCTGAACCTTGGCCTTCCATCTACTGTTGAGGATCCTTTGCAACCCCCACCTGACGACTCAGAATTTGACCTGCAGGCTGAGGACAGGGCAATCCATCTCTTGTTGAACAGGTAAGGAGTGAAATGTTGCTGCTGTAATCAGGTTCCAGCAACTATGTCCATCGGGAACCCAGTTTGCAATAATAATAATAATAATAATTGTTTCCAGGAATCCCTTTCTTCAACTGTCTAGTGAGGCACCACTGTAAAAATAATAATTGTTTCCAGGAACCCCTTTGTTTAAGGCTCAAGGCATTGTTTCTATTCTTTAGATTAGTTGCTGCATTCAGAAGCCCAGAGTTTTGCTCAAACACAGAATGAAGTTGCTTTCCTGTCTCTCTTCATTGCCTTTGGAACCAGACTTAACTGCTTTATCCTTTTTTACATGTTTAATCAGAGGCAAGCCCTCTTAAATATCAACAGATCTTAAGTGTTTACGGTAGGTGCCAGCTTTGAAAGACAGATTTTGCAAAGTGAGTTACAATCAAAAAAGAAAGAAAGAAGAAAAAAATTGAAGTACAACAAGAAAGAAATTAGAGTTAAAAACTCAGATTATTACTTAAAAAGTTAGGAAGAATAAACCTGAGAAGAGGGAGGAAAGTTGGAGATTAATCTTATCAGTGGTTTTATTAATCTAGTAGAGTTTGTAAGATTTTTGGGTATGAATTCATTCTCTTTTCAGTGTTCAGCATGTCAGCTAGCAGGTTAGTGTCAGGTCAAAAATTAAATAACTGGGGCAGTGTTGAGGTTAGGGTTACCACATGAGTGGGTATACACACACTTCTATATACACAGATACAGGTGTATGATTGTATAACATATGTATGTAATCTTTTTAAAAAATACATTCTGTACCACAGTTCGGATCTTTCCCCTGTGCGCCTTCTGGATGGTTCAGGCTCACCTCCAGAGTCTCTTTCCCTCGGAAGTGATGTGTATGACAGCGAGTTAAACGATCCCCACTATGACCAGAGTCTGTTGGAGAATTTGTTCTACACAGCTCAGGTAAGTACACAAAGCATCCATGTGGTCTTGCAGCCAGTATTCTGCTAAAGCTTTCACTGGCTCGGGTCCTTATGACCTGTTTACCCTGCCAAGCCTACCCTGTTTCCCCGAAAATAAGACCTAACCTGAAAATAAGCCCTAGTAGGATTCTTCAGGATGCTCATAATATAAGCCTACCCCCAAAATAAGCCCTAGTTAAGTGAAAAATAAGCCCTAATTAAGTGCTTTTGAATTGTGGTGCTGGAGGAGGCTCTTGAGAGTTCCCCGGACTGCAAGGAGAACAAACCTATCCGTATTGAAGGAAATCAACCCTGAGTGCTCACTGGAAGGACAGATCCTGAAGCTGAGGCTCCAAGATTTTGGCCATCTTGCGAGAAGAGAAGATCCCTGGAAAAGACCCTGATGTTGGGAAAGTGTGAAGGCAAGAAGAGAAGGGGACGACAGAGGACGAGATGGTTGGACAGGGTCACCGAAGCGACCAACATGAATTTAACCCAACTCTGGGAGGCAGTGGAAGACAGGAGGGCCTGGCATGCTCTGGTCCATGAGGTTACGAAGAGTCGGACACGACTTAACGATTAAACAACAACAAGTGAAACCCCCCGCTCTCCACCATTGTGCAGAAACCAGAAGATAACATGACTGTAAAATAAAACCTCTGAAAATAAGCCCTAATGGGTTTTTTGGAGCAAAAATTAATATTTTTTCGTGCAAACTTGGTATTATTGCCAGGACACATATATGTAAAGTGATCTCTTCCAGTGTTGATAGAAAGCATGGAGTTCAATATTATGATGCGTGGTTTGTTGGTGCGGGGTCCTAGTTTTGGTCTCTGTTGTCTGCCGTAGGAAAGGGTCTCTGTAGAGATGGTGAAAGGTTTCCCACCTGGCACCGTCAACCATGGTTTCTAGTAAAAGTTGGCAGTAGCAGACTAGACGGAACAGCAGGCCCCGGAGTATGGCAGCTTTGGCCTGTCATTCTGTTCTCCAATAATAAGCCTTCAAGCCGTTTGTTTGTTTGTTTGTTTGTTTGTTTGTTTGTTCGATGACCAAAAAGTGAGACCCCGGACATGTAAAGCCTGGCAGGGCCACAGTTCAGCACACAAAGGGTTGACCTGATTTTGTAACTTAAGTTCCAAGTGTTTGCTAGTTCTTAATAACGTTAGCTGGCAAATATGATTGTTATTGTTATTGTTGTTAGCAGCAGCAGCAGCAGCACGAAACAAAGAACCAACTTTGGCAAAGATATGCTGTGTAGCTGCCTAGTGGAGAATCTTGTTCGTTGTAGCTGTGCCAAGTTGTGTCTGTTTCCAGATGGGTGAGGTGGGATGTCAATAATCAGAGGCAGCCAATGTGTGCCCCTTGTTACAGGCACAGTGCTTTGCATCTTGAAACGTCTTGCGGCCAGGTTTTTACATTGATAGAACTGGGGACAATGTTTGGCAGTGAAAGAGAAATTAAAATCTTGGAGTGTTTTGATCAGGTTGTTGTCTTGAACCCTGTGTGCCTTTATATGTTATTTAACACTTGGAGTAAGTACCCTGAAGCTTAGCACTGTAAGAGGATTTGAAGATTTAAAACGCAGTCCTTTAACCGTGGTTGGCTTCACCGAAAAGCATCGCATTCAAAGGGCCAGATTGGAACTTGCATTCGATATAATTACAGACTAATAACAGGCATTTATGTTAACAGTTACCATAGACATGTTAAATCTGTGTAAGGGGCAACTGGCTAGCAGATAGATAGACTGTGGTGAGGTGGGACGAGGGTGGGAGAAGCTGATGCAGCAAAAAGGAGAAGGGGAGAGACCTTCCTCCCAGTCTGGCCGGAAAGAACCCAAACCCCCAGGCCATGGAGGGCATGGCCTGATGACCATTCTGAAAGGGGCTGCTTCCTGCATAGTTTTACAGGGAATCCCAGTGGAGTGGGGACAGCTCCAGGACTCGAATCTGGAAAACATATTTACCAAAGACCGGGGAGACTTTAGATCATGTCCTCAAATAGTGGAACTGTGGTAAAACTTCTGTTAGCACAGACTCCTGCATAGACTTTGATAAGAGTCTCTGTCTTGGTTTCAATTGGGCTTACTAACCAGAATGGCACTTTCGTTGCTCAGTTCCTGAGAGTTCCTGTGAAAGTTCAACAAATCACATTTTCCTCGATTGTTTTTGAATCCTTAGAAATCAGACAGCAGCTTGAGCGATTTCCTCAGTGAAGAGGAAGACGCCGTTTCTTCTGGGAAACAAAATCTCTCTCGGAGGAGCAAACCACCGACAGCACTGAAAACCTTGGGGTCAAGCCCCTCGGGACAGAAAGAGAAGACTCCGGGGACAGAAACAAGGTGAAACATTTGCTATGGACTCCATTACGCAGTACTGTTGTGTCTTGTGCAGTTCGTTCTTTTTTGGCGTGCTTCCCTAACCGATGGCCCATTTTGACCTCTTTATTTTTGCCTTCTTCTGCCCAGCCATTCTGCTGGACCCCTCCCGCCTCATGAGACTTCCGTGGCATCTGCGGAGGAAATGCACGCGGTCAACTTGAGTCTGGACAGACTGGCGGTGTTGAGTCAGATCCATTTGGCAAGAGTGGTCATTGAGAGTTTAGGGATCTCCCCCGAAGAGATCATTGGGAACACCCAAGGCAAGAAAACGTCCGTTGGAAAACCACCCAGGCCGGCCCGGGTGAAAAAGAGGTATTAATGCTTGTCTCTGTCACCTGTGTAAGGCTCACTGTCCTAAATGTGCTTGCCCTGATCTCAGCTGGAGCCATGTAGGTTGTACTTCTTCTCACAAGTTCCCAGGTTTTTTTCCGCTGAAGAATGGATGCTTTTGGATTGTGGTGCTGGAGACACTTGAGAGTCCCCTGGACTGCAAGGAGAACAAACCTATCCAGTATGAAGGAAATCAACCCTGAGTGCTCCCTGGAAGGACAGATCCTGGAAGCTGAGGCTTCAATACTTTGGCCATCTAATGAGAAGAGAAGACTCCCTGGAAAAGACCCTGATGTTAGGAAAGTGCGAGGGCAAGAGGAGAAGGGGACGACAGAGGACGAGATGGTTGGACAGTGTGATCGAAGTGACCGACAGGACTTTGACCAAACTCCGGGAGGAAGTGGAAGACAGGAGGGCCTGGTGGGCTCTGGTCCATGGGAGTCACGAAGAGTCGGACACGACTTAATCATAAAAATAACATGGTCCTTAACTCTGGCCAGAATCCTGTTGTGTGCAACAGTTGTGCAGCACGGTTGTGCAACTAGCAGGGCTCTTTTAGAGCTTGCACAGGGAAATCTCCAGGACCTCCATGGGCAAGAAATTTCTGGCCTCTGTCTAGGAGAAACCATGGGTGATAAAGTGGCTTAAACCGTGGGGCACGATCCCTGTTCTACCCATCTGCCTGTAGGCTGGATGATCTCAGGAAGTGTGGCCCACACTCTCCCCACTTGGGAAAGGTTAGAAGAAAGAACGCCAGTCACCTTTGAGAACTGGTGAATTCCTCAGGCTGGGACTTGATTCACTTCGGATACGCTCCTCAAATGCATTTTGCTTCTGGGTCCCCTTTTCATCCTGGGGAGCGTGAGTGCAGATCGAGGCTGGACTTCCTTTAACCGGCTGCTTGAGAGCTAGCAAACGTAGCCAAGGGCACCAAGCGAAGCCACCTCTGGCCAGAGCACCAGCCATCCCTACTGCCTCCATCTCTGGCAACAGATGTTAATTGTTTCAGCTAACCATGCTTGAAATTCAGGCATCCATGCTCTTTGGCGTATACCATGGGTGCATGCGATGGTGCATGGCTGAAAGGATCCTACACATGCCAGTTAGATCAGAACTAGCCGTAAAAGTCGTGTCTGAAACCCGTCCAGTCCCTGTCAGTTCCGTGATCCTGCCTGTCGGAAGTGGAATCCTCTAATGGTGAATTTCACGCAGGTGGTAGGAATCTGGCAGCTGCCTTAGACCAAGGCTGCATTTTTGGTCTGTGCCCTTCAGTATGCTTTATAGCATATTCAAGCCAACAGGTCTCCAGCTTTCCCCCTACGAGCTTTCCTCACCTGAAGTTGAAGGCGGGGCGTTGAAGCTGCCACTTTTGCAGGCTCAAGAGTCAGTGTTCTTGCTTTTAACGTGTTTCCACTTTGTCCGTTTTCTCTGACATGGCGGCTGCCCTTACCTGATACCCCTTTCCTTTCTTCTTTGTTCATCACCTTCTT